TGTGGTGTTGGTGATGGTGGTGGTTGTGGTGTTGGTACTGTGAGTGATGGTGTGGATTGTATGGTGTGATGCCTGGTGATGTGAAATTGGTAGTTGTGGTGTTGGTGATGGTGGTGGTTGTGGTGTTGGTGCTGGTGATGGTGAGTGGTTGTGGTGTTGGTGCTGGTGATGATGGTGGTTGTGGTGTTGGTGAAGTGGTGGTGGTTGTGGTGTTGGTGCTGGTGATGGTGGTGGTTGTGGTGTTGGTGCTGGTGGTGGTGAGCTGGATTGTGGTGTTGGTGCTGGTGATTGGTGGTGGTTGTGATGTTGGTGCTGGTGATGATGGTGTGGTTGTGAATTGGTGCTGGTGATGGTGGTGGTTGTGGTGTTGGTGCTGTGGTGGTGGTGGTGGTTGTGGTGTTGGTGCTGTGGTGAGTGGTGGTGGTTGTGAATTGTTGGTGCTGGTGATGGTGGTAGTTGTGGTGTTGGTGCCTGGTGGTGATGAAGTGAATTGTGGGGTTGGTGATGGTGGTAGTTGTGGTGTTGGTATAGTGATGAGTGGTAGTTGGTCTTGGTACTGGTGATGTGGTGGTGGTTGTGGTGTTGGTGCTGGTGATGATGGTGGTTGTGGTGGTGATGAATTGTTGGTTGGTGTTGGTACTGGTGATGGTGGTGGTTGTGGTGTTGGTACTTTGGTGGTGATGCTAATTGTGGGGTTGGTGATGGTTAGTGGTTGTGGTGTTGGTACTGGTGATGGTGGTAGTTGTGGTGTTGGTACTGGTGATGGTGAGTGGTTTATTGGTGTTGGTACTGGTGATGATGAAGTAGTTATGGTGTTGGTACTGTGGTGATGGTGAAGTAGTTGTGAATTGTGGTACTGGTGATGGTGGTAGTTGTGGTGTTGGAACTGGTGATGGTGGTTATTGGTGTTGGTGCTGGTGATGGTGGTTGTGGTGTTGGTACTGGTGATGGTGAGTTGTGGTGTTGAGTACTGGTGATGGTGAGTAGTTGGTGTTGGTACTGGTGATGGTGAGTAGTTGTGATGTTGGTACTGGTGATGATGGTAGTTGTGGTGTTGGTACTGGTGATTGATGGTGCTGGTTCTGGTGTTGGTACTGGTGATGGTGGTGGTTGTGAATTATTGGTACTGGTGATGATGGTAGTTGTGGTGTTGGTATTGGTGATGATGGTGGTTGTGGTGTTGGTGCTGGTGATGTGGTGGTGGTTGTGGTGTTGGTACTGGTGATGGTGGTGGTTGTGGTGTTGGGACTGGTGGTTATAGTGGTGTGGTGTGGGTACTGGTGATGATGGTGGATTTGTTGTGTTGGTACTGGCAGTGATGGTGTTAGTTGTGGTGTTGGTATAGTGATGGTGGTAGTTGTGGTGTTGGGACTGGTGATTATAGTAGTTGTGAATTGTTGGTGCTGGTGATGGTGGTAGTTGTGGTGTTGGTACTGGTGATGAGTGGTGGTTGTGGTGTTGGTACTGGTGATGATGGTGGATTTGTTGTGTTGGTGCACTGGTGATGATGGTGGTTGTGGTGTTGGTGCTGGTGATGTTGGTGGTTATGAATTATTTGGTACTGGTGATGGTGGTGGTTGTGGTGTTGGTACTGGTGATGGTGGTAGTTGTGGTGTTGGTGCTGGAAATGGTGATAGTTGTGGTGTGGGTACTGGTGATGATGGTGGTTGTTGTGTTGGTACTGGTGACGATGGTGGTTGTGGTGTTGGCACTGGTGATGATGGTGATTGTGGTGTTGGCACTGGTGATGATGGTGATTGTGGTGTTGGCACTGGTGATGATGGTGGTTCGCGTTATAAATCAACTTGTGTGTGTGAGGAGACACAACTGGTCTGTACAGTCTCACTTTATTTCACTATTTGTAGGAAGTTTTCTTAAATTAGGGCAGATTTTTTCACCATGTTCATGCCAGCTCTCTGTAAATCCCAGAAGGTTTAGTACAGTACTTAGGACAATGCTTACCTACTGAGGACAATGCTTTCTTACTGGGGACAATGCTTTCTTACTGAGGACAATGCTTTCTTACTGAGGACAATGCTTTCTTACTGGGGACAATGCTTTCTTACTGAGGACAATGCTTTCTTACTGAGGACAATGATTACCTACTGAGGACAATGCTAACTTACTTTAGGACAATGCTTACCTACTGAGGACAATGCTTATTTACTGAGGACTCTAACCGCTAGTAATTATATTTCTGGATAATTTATTGAGATTAAAAGTGAAATAGTTGAATAGTGGATAAGACATTAGTTTATAGTGTTGTAGATAGTGAGGTTGATGATGATAGTGGCGACAGGTGATGATGGTGGTGGTGGTAGTGGTGACAGGAGTTGATGGTGAGGATAGTGGTGGTGACAGGTGCTGAGGGTGGTAGTGGTGGTGGTAGTGGTGACAGGTGTTGATGGTGAGGGTGGTGGTGGTGGTGGTGGTGACAAGTGTTGATGGTGAGGGTGGTGGTGGTGACAGGTGTTGATGGTGAGGATGGTAGTGGCGACAGGTGATGATGGTGAGGGTAGTAGTGGTGACAGGTATTGATGGGGAGGGTGGATGGTAGTAGTGGTGACAGGTGCTGATAATGAGGTGGTGGTGGTGGTGGTGACAGGTGTTGATGGTGAGGGTGGTGGTGGTGGTGGTGACAAGTGTTGATGGTGAGGGTGGTGGTGGTGACAGGTGTTGATGGTGAGGATGGTAGTGGCGACAGGTGATGATGGTGAGGGTAGTAGTGGTGACAGGTATTGATGGGGAGGGTGGTGGTGGTGGTGGTAGTGGTGACAGGTGCTGATAATGAGGGTGGTGGTGGTGACAGGTGTTGATGGTGAGGGTGGTAGTGGTGACAGGAGTTGATGGTGAGGATGGTAGTGGTGACAGGTATTGATGGGGAGGGTGGTGGTGTTAGTGGTAGTGGTGACAGGTGCTGATAATGAGGGTGGTGGTGGTGGTGGTGACAGGTGTTGGAGGTATTCACGTGCTTCGCCTTCCTCCTGGTCGTCTTTTAGGCTTAAGAGAGTTTACCTGACTTGAAGGACGTGTAATTTGGACTTAGTATCTGCCTAAGATCTCGTCAACACAACCACTTAATATAAAAATTTGTGTGAAATGACGTAACCTTTTATTTTTAAGCAACTGCACACCAAATTACATAGCGACGAAGTGTGATATTAAGAGTCTCCACAAAATGTTAAGGGAGTCAACCTAAAATTATTCTAGAGCCTTTGTTGTACCTTTATGGAACCTTCCTCCTAACTGATAGCAGCATCCTGCTCGTTAACCCATCAGCTATTGGTATAACTGCCACACAACACTGTACTCTACCTGAAATCATATATTTTTTGGTATTAAACTAGAATTTCTCCCTTGCAAAGTCTAGCGAATGTCAGGTTAAAGCCGTGGTGAACTGTTGAGACACCTCGACATACCCGGTGCCGAAAATATTCTAGGTACTGCATGCGATAGTTCGACCAAAACGTCATTGAAAGCTTGATGGCGTGCTGAGATTACCCCTCGGAATAAAAGATTAGGTTAGGTTAGGTCAGATTTGGTTAGGTGAGGTCAAATTGGGTTAGGTTAGGTCAGATTAGCTAAGGTTTATTTTGGTTAGCATTTGATCGAACTGCACATGCCTAGAACATTTTCAACACGGGGCACCCGATAACTAACTCACTCCTGAAGTCATGTTATCAAATATTATGTTCATCGAGAAGGTGCTGCGGCAGTATGTCTGTGGTGCTTCACTGCGCCACATCGGGTGTTCAGGCCAACTAGAGCTCCACATTGTTTATCATCACACCTGAGTCATAACATAATGCCCTGTTATTATCATAATTGGATCTTCAAGATATGAAACTTTAACATTGGGTTAGATATTATTAATGAACGTTACTCCGCACACTGAATTCCCTCATTCCGTGTTCTAGGTCAAGTGAATGTTCTTACTGGTTGTCGTAATTTCACGCTCTAATCACTTTCTTTTAACTTCGTCTCTGTTGTCAGTACAGCACGATCGTCTAAAGTTGTCTTGGCCTGAGAATTAGGTATTGTCACTTATTTTAATAATCAATTATGTAGCGGATGATAATAGTGTTGGTCTTGACAGTCACTTCAGCAATGGCTTGTGTGGCGGCGTTAATGTCAAGCACACTTTGTAATAACAAAGGCATAAAAAGAGGTGACACTTTATACACATCAACAGTGAGAACGAAAATACTGTATATATTTATTGTTAGTCTTGATGTTTAGAACTGTAAAAGAGAATTAACGGAAACATGTTACAGGTTTATGAGAAAGGGGCGGGAAGGTTGTAGGTAGATTTGCCAGGTTCTTGACCTGTAATAAACCTGACCTAACACACCTGGCCAACGCTTAAGGTGCTCTGCTGACTTCACCACATGTACTGTACAGTTTCCTCCACATGAACGTACCACAGCCTGGGAGTATGTGATGGCTCGGGTATGAGATGTGGCATAGCAGCGCCGTAATCATGGCTGAGGGAATGGGCGTGAAAAAGTTAAATTACCCTGTTTAGTTTGCATGGCCACACATCAATGCTGAATAACACTTATCAAATGGATGCTTTATTTGTTTATGCTATGCAGCATTATTGTGTAGCCACGACCGAGTAACTAGGACTGAACTACGGGGAACCGGCAAACAGGGTAATCCATGGGTTCACGCCCATGACTACATCTCGTACCTGTGCCCTCACACACTCCCAGGCCATTGTAGTGAACGTTCATGAGGAGGCAATTGTACGTAGATCTCTCCTCACCTCTTCTCACAGTGATATTACCTACACAATACTTCTGATTCACCTACAGTACTCCTGCCTCACCTACGGTACTCCAGCCTCACCTACGGTACTCCTGCCTCACCTACGGTACTCCTGCCTCACCTACAGTACTCCTGCCTCACCTACACCTACAGTACTCCTGCCTCACCTACGGTACTCCTGGTACTCCTGCCTCACCTACAGTACTCCTGCCTCACCACCTCACGGTACTCCTGCCTCACCTACAGTACTCCTGCCTCACCTACAGTACTCCTGCCTCACCTACGGTACTCCTGCCTCACCTACGGTACTCCTGCCTCACCTACGGTACTCCTGCCTCACCTACAGTACTCCTGCCTCACCTACAGTACTCCTGCCTCACCTACGGTACTCCTGCCTCACCTACAGTACTCCTGCCTCACCTACAGTACTCCTGCCTCACCTACGGTACTCCTGCCTCACCTACGGTACTCCTGCCTCCTCTATAGTGTGCCTGGCCACTCAACGTAGTTTTCCTCTTAAAACTTAAACACCCTTCATAGCGGTTGCGGCGGCTGATTACAAGAAAGAGTTAGAAGGAATTCGTGATTCATAATGTTGAAAAATCGTCTATATCTAACTATAGTGGTACTAAATTCTCTTATAAAATGTAATAAAATGTAAATATTCTATAAAGCAGAAAGTTGCCAGAATGATGACAACTGCTGGTAGAGTGAATTTGTGAGAATGATTAACTGGGTAAAACACGCAAGGTTGTTTAGGGTTTGTGTTTAGTCAGAAGAGGTGACAAACATAAGCTGTCTCACCTTCACACACGTCTTACATATCATAAAATTCGCTCATAAACAGAATTAATCCGGTGACCAGTATCTGTTAGTAGTAATAAGTTAGTTTGGCCAGGACCCCCACGACGTCGCTCTAGTTCAAGTGTTCACAGAAATCTTACTTCTGACTGAACAAACTGATCATAAAAAACAGCCTTCATCTTTGCCCAAAATGACGGGTTTAGAATGTATGCATCACTGAGTGAGAAAAGAGCAGTACTACAGGTAAACTGACGTAAAATTTTCTATGTGCACAACCAACATTTGTAACACTTTTGTCCAAGTCATCTCAGGTCACTACCTCCTCACGCACATGTAGGAGGGAGGTGCGGGGGTGAGCAGCTCCTGGCGGTATTGTATGAGGGGCGAGGTACACACTGGGACATACACACTGCAGTAGAAAGTAGTATATAGTATATTATCGCTTCTTATGGCTGACTTGTTCGCATTTAGTGTTTTCTGCGTCGATGTGCAGTTCGGCGTCGCCATTCTGGTGTTCATTATCCTCGTCATGTTCGTCATAGTCATCATCGTCGTCGTCATCCTCGTCGTCGGCGCTCCTTCTCGTCGACTCCACAATACGGAAACACTCTAGAAATTCGTTAAAGTCGATGTATCCATCTTTGTTGATGTCGATGGAGCGTGCCAGGTCGGTGATCTCCTGGGTAGAGATAGGTACCTCGATGTGGCGGCTCAGCAACTCACACGTCTCCTTGAACTCCTCCATGCTGATGTGTCCTGAGGGCGACATGTGTTATGTAATCTGTTATACAAAATTACTGGGAGACTTATACTATTATATTGCCGCAGTTTGTGTCCCACCACCACCCCTGTACTCGACTGTTCTCCTGCGTGTCATCTCGTGTAACCAAATTTGAAATTAATAAGAATCATCAGTTATAATTATGGCTGCTTTACACGTGTCTCACAAAAGTTGATGGAGAGAGTAAACTCACCTGAGTTATCCTTATCGATGAGTCTGAAGATTGTCTCGAGGCTGCTCTTGTGACGGTACAGCGCCTCCACCACTGTAGGTCCACCCTGAGGACACACCACAGTGTTACTCTCACATACATACATACATACATACATACATACATACATACAAACATACATACATACATACCCTATACTATATAAGTGTAAGTGGTGGACAACTCAATATAATAGTTTGGGACATCTGAATGGGAGTGAATGTGTGTGCATGATTACTTAACCAATACACTTGACGCTACTAAAGAAGAAGTCGTTCAGGTCACCTACAGTCGAGCTCAACAGGAATATAGCGAACCAAAGCGAAGTTTAATCTTACTCTAAATCACTACATCACCGTCAATATGTACAGTAGTTTGGCGCTCTTATAATCACAAGAGCCAGATGTAGACAGTGATGGCAGACATTTACTCTTGATTTTGTCATAACACAGCCACAGCTCTGGACAAACTTTCAGTGCGTGTTTCTAATAAACATTTAGAGTATCTCTTCCTCACATGTTAAATAATACCTTCAAGTGTTTTAATATTACCCATTTTGAGAGAATCACAACTTCTCATAAGTTATTCGCCTAGCATCTCACAACACAACCCACCTTAACAGCCAGGTCTTTCTTGATGGTCTCGTCGCTGAAGGTGCTGCGGTAGTTGACTTGGCCGTTTGTAGGATGAAGAAACACCAGTTTGTCTTTCAAGACACGCCAGGGCAGGTTGAGTTTACTCTCCTTCTCCATCACCTCCACCCAGTCTCCAACACTTATGTAACCTGTAAGGGGATCAGCTGCAGGTGTTAGGCATCCCGAGGGGGGGAGGACGTGAGGGTATTATGATGCTCACTGCCCCGAGTATTTACCTAAATAAAACTAATGAAGGTTCTATACACCTGTCCATTCTCTCATGACAAATTCATGTCGACAGTTCCAACATTTGAGTATTTGTTTCTAAAAACAAAAGTGGGTACATCGTCACTTAATGCTGAGAGAACACTTTTAAAGTTTAAGATTAAACTTTTTCCCAAAGGATAACTTAAGCAAGCACTGTCTAGAAGATAACTTCCTCTGAACCTAATGTCGTGACCATCCTCGTCTTTTGAATGTCATATCAAACTAAAGCTATACCTGGCCTTTCAGACTGTTACGAGGAGCACAGAACCTTTACGGATCCCCGTCGTTCTGCAAAAGGAGCCAAAACATCATATCTTCATCTATGTTGTACTAAACACTCACTAGTTGCCTGTGCTCTAAATTTCTTACCATTATTCCACTGCGTGAACGCCATCGAAAACCTTATTTTAACAACCTTTTTATTCCACTGCCGGAAATCTGTTAGAACCAAGCACCTCATCAGGATTGTTCTTGTCCTTCCACTGTCTAACACACCAGACTAAGTCTTATTGTGTTGACGCCATCCGAAGCGTAGACCTTCCTTGTCTTGTACTGCTCGAAGCCACTACGAGCACGGGCCTCACAGTCTTGTCGTACTTAAAGCCGCTAGTACTGTAGCATGGTTAATTGGTTATCACCTATTTTGTCTTCCTAAACGTTTCTAGAAGCAACAGTCCCATCAATCTTGTCCTGCTGCAAGTCACAATGCTCATAAACTTCATCTATCCGGATGCCAGCACGTGTCCATTTTCTTAGGAGGGAGTTACCATGAGTGTGGGTCTCACCTGTTCTGCTTCTTTACTGGTTGTCAGTCATAACCTGTGTATTGCTGGCAGCTCGTCAGGAGGAAGAATCTCATCTGCTGGTAACTACTAAAAGTGTGAAACTCACCTGTTTTACCCTTGTCCTTCTGTTGGAAGGCCTCGAGAAGTTTGGACCTGGATGCGTGAATCTGACCGCGAAGTTCCCTGAAAGCTGACGTCTCCATCCTACCTACACGTTCACGGATGGTCAGCTTCCGAGACCTGTCAACGATGCCCCGATTATCACCAAGAAGGAGAAATAGTGAAAAGATGAGGATGAAATGATGAAAGATTAGATGTGAAGAGTAGACTCTATAAGAAATGACATTTGTAAGTGCAGTGATCTCTTACAGGCTGTAGCTGTAAACGTGAGGATGGTGCAACAGATGATACAGAAAAAAATAGAAATGTAATCAGCTAGCATAAGAATAATCTCTTACACATATTATAAGTAAATGAAAATCCACATTGTCAAAAACAAAGTTGTTCAGCAGCAAATCATGTCTTTGTGGCAGAAATTCCTCAATAATGACAAATTTCTAACACATGACTTCGTTGCCTCAAGGGGTCTGTACATTCCTCTGCACACTGCATTCATTATTAAGCACATAATTAAGCTTAATACTCTCCTAATGATTAAGCTAATATTTCTTAGACAGATGGAACGGCCAGAAGTATAAGTTGTCTTGAACATATAGCTGACTCGCCTTATTCAGTCAATCAGAGTCGTCCACTCTAAACGTTCTCGGGCTGTTTTTACCAATCCTGCAGGTTTTATATATCTCTGGGGACTCAGTTTTTAATTTCATTCGTACATCCTAGTCTCTACCTTCCCCTGTCCCCCCTACCCTCAACTTTGCCCATTAATATTTCTGTTATCTCCTCACCAAAGTAACTCATTTTTATTTTTCTGATCATTTCAATTATTTCTCTTGAAGTTTTTGTTAATCTTAGTAATTCTTCCTTTGTTTTCCTGTAGTGTAGCTTATTCTTATTCATTCACTTATAACACCACATTACAAAGGACGTTAATCTCTTTCTGGTGTCTGCTGAAAGTGTCCACGCTTTTGTTCCATACATCAGTCTTGCCATATAGTCATTAAGCAGCCTTTTTCTCAATTTGAAGTTAATGTCCCTTTTCATTAAGTCTTTTACATTATTAAATGCTGTTTTTGCTTGTCATATTCTTGTTTTGATTTCTTCCGTATATCTACCATCACAGCAAATGTTATTTCCCAAATAAACAAAAATTTTACTGGCCTACCATAATTTTTGTTTAGGATTTATTTTCAATTTAGAAACAACCATTACTTTATTCTTTGCAGTATTAAATCTTAAATCATATTCTTCACATTTTTCCACTAATCTGTTAACGAGTCCTTGTAATGCCTCTTCACTATCAGTTATAAGTGCAGTATCATCTTTCTTGAGTTTATTTGATAGCACAGTACTTTAAAATTAACTTTCAGTCCTCCCTTATCACTTATAACTTCTCTCATTAAGAATTATGAATATATATTATACAAAGATGGAGATAGAACACGGCCTTGTCTTATTCCTGTCTAATTGTTCACCCATTACTAACACTGCAGCCTCTAATATCTCCTTCATTAATGCCTAATTTTTCCAAGATCTCTGTTGTGGTTTACCTAATCAAAAGCTTTTTTCAAAATCAACAAGACAGATACATATTTATTTTTGGGGGGGACATCTAAACACTTTTCACTGAAAATTCTCAAACTAAATATAGCTTCTTTAGTTCCTGTTCACTTTTTTAATCCACTTCCTCTTCAGATAACTCACTTTCTATTCTAAACTTTATCCTCGAAGGCTCCTGGTCTTTTAGGTAATAATACAAATATTGATTTCATATTTTAGTCAAACATTTTATCCCATTCTTGTCCATTTGCTTTATAAATTCTGCTGGAAGCTGATCAGCCCCACAAGCCTGATCATTTTTCATTTTGCTCACAGCTGCCTCAACTTCTGTTTCTAGAGTTGGCATTTCGATCTTTATTTACTTTTCGTTTATTACCTTTACGCTATCCTTATCATTGTATAGTTTTTCTACGTACTCTGCCCATCTCTCTTTTACTTCTTCTGCCTCACTAGTCAGGAATCTAACCCGGACCTGTGCAGGCGAACAGGGAGCACTACCACAGCATCATAAGGACAACAAAAGCTATACTAGGCTTTGTTGTATTTCACACAAAGCCTGCTCCTTCGTTAAGCAACAGGACCCTCCACCGGGGATAGCTAGTGCCAACTATGTGGTCGCAGTAGCATTATACAGACTCCAGTTAGAAAGCACGAGGCACCAATACATTTCAACAGTCCATGTATACCCGGACTTCAATATACAAACAACTCGTTAATCAGGATCAGAAATCGAACCCGGGGACCTCTGTATGTGAACAAGGAGCGTTACCACGGCACCACAAGGGCACCAAAAGACGAAGGAGCTGGCTTTGTGTAAAATACAACAAAGCCTAGGATAACTTTTGTTGCCCTCTAGCAATGCTGAAAACCTATTTTCGTTTTCAATTTCATATTATATCCCTGCTCTTGCTTTGAGCTTACCAAAATCCCTTTTGATTTTGTTCATAATTTAATTGTTTTTGTTTTTGAAGTTTTAGTCTCACTAAACTCATTACTGGGACGTCCCCTGACCTGCACTCTACCCCTGGATTGGTCTTGGTTCGGGTTATTGAATTATATAATCTTTCCTGAATTAAAACAACAGTAGAAATCACAAGTGGATCTATTGAAGATATATGGTAGAAGTAAATTCCTCACTTTATTATACAATATTCACACTTGTGTCCTCACACCGAAGAGAGTTAAACATACTGACAGGGAGAATTATGGGAGGGCGGGGACTCTGTCCAATAAGAAACAATGTTGGTAATGATAGCTGAGGATAATATTATGAACCGAAAAGGCAGGATAACAGTCAATTATATAATAAGAGTGTGTTGTACTGGTCCATGAAGACACCTGCCCGCTGATGATAATTATTGATCTACATGCTAATGTACAATGTGTGTGTGTGTGTGTGTGTGCGCGCGTGCGCAAAGGAGGGAGGTTATAACTTACTTTAACTCGGCGGTATACTGGACAAAGTGAGGTTCGAGGTTGGGTCCCTGTAGCTTGACGTAGGCGCCTCTGTTGCTGCCTGCCTCGTAATAGTTGGACGCCGAGAAGATGGTGAGACACTGTAGAGTAAAAATGTCTTCTATTATCACATATTGGTGTCAGTCAGAGCTGGTTATAAGTCAGTCAGTACTGAGTATAAGTCAGGAAACTAGCAAACAGGCAGGTACTACCGCCTGGCAGGATATTGAAAGTATAATGTGTTGTCTGATAGTAGACCCTGCTGCCATATGGCATCACAAAATTGTGACTAAGTTCCAGGTTGCTGATCTGTCTTTCTGCCTCATTTACACACAATTGCAGGGTCTCAGTTGTTTCTCTTTTTGACAACACAACATATTATAAAGTTTCTCATTCTTGATTTGATAATTTTCTTCCATTTTTGTATTTCTTTTTGGTTTATTCTTTCGCCCCTCCCGTTCCCGGCTACGATATGCGACGGTGACCTGTGCCTACTGGGCTACGGTGACCTGTGCCTACTGGGCTACGGTGACCTGTGCCTACTGGACTACGGTGACCTGTGCCGACTTGGCTAATTCCCTTAAAAAAAATAATACGGACTGTTCTTACTACACTACTGGTTGCTGTTATTATACTGTTGACTGTTGTTACTACCCTACTGATTGTTGTTACTACCCTACTGACTGTTGTTACTACCCTACTGACTGTTGTTACTACACTACTGACTGCTGTTACTACCCTACTCATTGTTGTTACTACCCTACTGACTGTTGTTACTACCCTACTGACTGTTGTTACTACACAACTGACTGTTGTTACTACCCTACTGACTGTTGTTACTACCCTACTGACTGTTGTTACTACACAACTGACTGTTGTTACTACCCTACTGACTGTTGTTATTACACGGATGATTGTTGTTACTACCCTACTGACTGTTGTTACTACCCTACTGACTGTTGTTACTACACTGACTGTTGTTACTACCCTACTGACTGTTGTTACTACACTGCTGACTGTTGTTACTACCCTACTGACTGTTGTTACTACACTACTGACTGTTGTTACTACCCTACTGACTGTTGTTATTACACGGATGATTGTTGTTACTACCCTACTGACTGTTGTTGACTACCCTACTGACTGTTGTTGTTACTACACGTTGATGATTGTTGTTACTACCCTACTGACTGTTGTTACTACCCTACTGACTGTTGTTACTACCCTACTGACTGTTGTTACTACCCTATTGACTGTTGTTACTACACGGATGACTGTTGTTACTACCCTACTAACTGTTGTTACTACTCTATTGACTGTTGTTACTACCCTACTGACTGTTGTTACTACCCTATTGTCTGTTGTTACTACCCTACTGACTGTTGTTACTACCCTATTGACTGTTGTTACTACACGGATGACTGTTGTTACTACCCTACTGACTGTTGTTACTACACGGATGACTGTTGTTACTACCCTACTGACTGTTGTTACAACACTGCTGACTGTTGTTACTTTATTACTACCCTACTGACTGTTGTTACTACACGGATGACTGTTGTTACTACCCTACTGACTGTTGTTACAACACTGCTGATTGTTGTTACTACACAACTGACTGTTGTTACTACCCTACTGACTGTTGTTACAACACTGCTGATTGTTGTTACTTTATTACTACCCTACTGACTGTTGTTACAACACTGCTGATTGTTGTTACTACCCTACTGACTGTTGCTACAACACTGCTGATTGTTGTTACAACACTACTGACTGTTGTGACTACACAACTCACTGTTGTTACTACACAACTGACTGTTGTTACTACACTACTGACTGTTGTTACTACACTACTGACTGTTGTTACTATACAACTGACTGTTGTTACTACACTACTGACTGTTGTTACTACACTACTGATTGTTGTTACTACACTACTGACTGTTGTTACTACACTACTGACTGTTGTTACTACACTACTGACTGTTGTTACTACACTACTGACTGTTGTTACTATACAACTGACTGTTGTTACACTACTACACTGTTGTTACTACACTACTGATTGTTGTTACTACACTACACTGTTGTTACTACACTACTGACTGTTGTTACTCACTACTGACTGTTGTTACTACCCACTGACTGTTGTTACTACACTACTGATTGTTGTTACTACCCTACTGACTGTTGTTACTACACTACTGATTGTTGTTACTACACTACTGATTGTTGTTACACCCTACTGACTGTTGTTACTACACTACTGATGTTGTTACTACACTACTGACGTTGTTATTATTACACTACGACTGTTGTTACTACACAACTGACTGTTGTTACTAATTACTGACTGTTGTTACTACACTACTGATTGTTGTTACTACACTACTGACTGTTGTTACTACACTACTGACTGTTGTTACTACACTACTGATTGTTGTTACTACACTACTGACTGTTGTTACTACACAACTGACTGTTGTTACTACACTACTGACTGTTGTTACTACACAACTGACTGTTGTTACTACACTACTGACTGTTGTTACTACACTACTGACTGTTGTTACTTTAACTACTGATTGTTGTTACTACACTACTGAATATTGTTACTACACTATTGACTGTTGTTACTACACTACTGACTGTTGTTACTACACTACTGACTGTTGTTACTGCTCTACTGACTGCTGTTACTGCGGTACTGACTGTTGTTACTACACTACTGACTTTGTTAATATATCGACGACTGCTGTTACTACATTACTGACTGTTGTTATTACACTGTTCACTGTTGTTACTACACTACTGACTGTTGTTACTACACTGTTAATTGTTTTACTACACACCATGACTGTTGGTACTATGCAACTGACTGTTGATATTACATTGCTGATTGTTGTTACTATACAATTGACTGTTGTTTCAAACAC